AAAGTTGGTATTCTCTACATCTGGGAGTGAAGAGAGATAGAGAAAGAGAGAGAGGGTGGTCTAAAGGGTAGTTTTCTGAGGTAGAGTCACACAGAGAGTCCAAGAGACAAAGAGAAAAATAAACACAGAAAGAATGCTTCTGAAGGTAGGTCTTCTGTTTTTCTTTGTATGGGAGAGGGGGAAGAATGTTCTGGAAGTAAGTATTCTCTATGTCTCAAAGTGGAGAGTGGCAGAGAGAGAGAGAGTGGTCTATAAGGTGGTATTTTGAGAGACAGAGACTGAGACTAAGAGAGACACAAAAACAAACACATAGATAGACATGCAAAAAGAGACAGAAAGAACATCCTTCAGTCTGGCACCAAGAGTGAGTTCAGCGAGCTGGTTACTAAAGGTTCTGATCTATTTTGATTGACAGATTAAATCACTTTTTTGTCCAAATTCACATGTCCTTTCCCATAGAACATCTGATTTGAATCATATATAAACCTGATTGCACAGAAACATAAAGGTATCAAGTAGGGTATAGTCACCTGAAGAAATTATTTTTGTCTTACTATGCATACACACCAAACCACTTCATGCCAGATCAGTGTTTCTCTTCTTCCTACCTGGACACATTTAAAATATACTTGAATGGAAACTGTTTAGACTTGATCATTGCTAGGGGTACGAGAAACCCTACGCTATTCTTTAGAGACAGGTGTGTGACTCTCCAGATGCAGTAGGTAGGTAATTATGAAGGGATTCTATGTGGGAACCCCTACAGATTGTTCATCTAATGTTTGGGTAGCTTGATGGAGGTGGCGAGGGGGAAGAAATAGTTGTTATGTGGGGAATGCTACACCATTGTTCAGAGAGGGGTGTGTGAGTAGCCTTATACAGGTGGCTGGGGAGGGGTCTTATTAGGGTATTTGTTCAGAGTACGCATACACATAAAGAAGCTAAGGTGTCTAATGCCTTTTTACAAACTCAGATTGGGAACAACCCCATCCAAGCGGACTTCCAGGTTACTATGCTTGCTTGCCTTGTTTCCAAAGCTGCTTTTTTTTTCCTCCAGATTGAAGGGAATTGGAAAACTGTTTATTTAGCTTCCAGTACCGCAGAGAAGATAAAAGAAGGCTCACCCTTACGCACCTACTTCCGTCACATTGAGTGTATGAAGAAATGCAATAAAATCTTCCTCTATTTTTATGTCAAGTAAGATATAAAAGAAAACAAAACAATCCATATGATGGGCTGTGCTCAGAGAAATGAGATGTTTTCATTCAATACTCATGTCAGTGAACAGCCACAGCACTAAGTCAGGATTCTTACATCACTTTGCTCTGTATGCTCCAGAAAAAATGACATACAATATCTGCACTTTTAATTTAGAACGTGTGAATGTATTTAGTGTGTAGCAATACAAAGTAAAATAATAAATATCAAGATATAGACAATGATTATATATAAATAATAGATAGATAATTAGATAGATCAATACATACATACATAGGTAATTAAATATAGATGAATAGATAAATGATAACTATACCTTTCTATATGGGGTGAGCATAGAAGACATGAAAGAAATGGGACTGGATGTAAAATGCAAGTAGGAAACCCGATGTTCAAAATCAGATCCTGGTTGAAGTCAAACAGCACAAGACAAGTTACCAAAATAATATACATCACAATCACTTAATTTTCTATTTTTCACTCCTCAAAAACCCAGGTTGGGAAGAAGATACATCAAAAAAATTGGGACAATTTGAGTGCTTTTAAATGATATGGAAATGATAAAATTGTCTACTAAGGATATATTTCTATCTAGGATCAAGAAAGTTTTTGTTAATTACATGCTCATATTTGAGCCTTTTCATTAATTGATTATTTATAATTTTAGTTTTCTGAGACAGAGTCTCTGTACTCAATTGTTGTACATTGTGCTGGCTTTGAACTGAATACAGTTTAAAGAATGAACTTTCCAAGTTTTATTTATTATATATACTCATATAATAAATAATTTAATAAATATATCAGAGATCTACCTGCCTCTGCATCCACAGTGCTAGGATTAATGATGTGTGCCACCACCATCCAGCTAATTTATATATATATATATATATATATATATATATATATATGTATATGTATATGTATATGTATATGTATATGTATATGTATAT